TCCCTCCGGCCCGGCCCGGCCCCACTTCGGCCCGGGGCCTCCCTGCACCCCGATGCAGGCCTCGGTTCTGCACCCAGGCCCAGGCTCCGGCAGGATCGCCTCTTACACCCCCACACCCGCTGCAGGTCGGGAACGTCACTCCGACCTTCTTTAGACGGAACTGCCCCGACAGGAACTGCCTCAGCCTGGGCGCCCCAGCTCCTGCGCCAGCCCCGTCCGCGCCTGGGTCCAGGGCTGTGTCCAGGCTGATCTGACGGCTGTCCCTCGGGCGCCAGCGGGGCTCCCTGCTGACGATCTCACTGTACTGTTGCGCCCTTCCCCATCTCCCCCCCCACCCCCCAGGGCTGCCCTGACCATACGCCAGCCAGAACGCCCATCCTCTGCCCCACTCTCGCCATCCGTGTAGGACCCACTGCCCCGTCCCTGGCCATCTTGCGTCCTGTCCTGCATCCCTGTGCCCTGGGAGCCTCTCCTGGGTCCCCAGCCTCCCTGACCACAACCCCCTCCTCCCCGTGCCGTGCATGCTTCTCTGCATGGGGAGCTCCCCTCCACCCCAGGCCCCAGGATCTCTAGAGCTGGCTGCTGCCAGCCCAGCCCCTGCTGTCTGGGGTGCTGGGCAGCTGCCAGCCCAGGGTGTTGGCTGTGCAGTGGGCTTGCTCTTGTCTTCTCCAAGGAGCCGGCTTCCTGGAAAGTTTTGGGAGGTGGTGACTGCCGTGGCAGCAGGATTTGTCGTGTATGTGTGTGTGTGTGTGTGTGTGGGGGGGGTGAGCTGGAGGGTGAGAGGGGGATTTTTCTGCAGGAAGAGGAACGTCTGTTTTTGGCATGTTGGTGTCTCAGCAGGCTGGGTTGTGTGGGAGATTTCCAAACTGGACGTAGCTGTAACGAGTGAGCTGCCTCCCTCCAGCAGCAGGAGTGTCACTGGGCCTCAGTTTCCTTATCTGTAAAATGGGTGTAATCACACCTTTCTCTGTACTCTGGAGTATCATGTGACATAGTGAATACTAACACGTTTTAAGCAAGAGTGGACGATGAGACCATAGCGTGGTGTCTGGTGCACAGTAGGTACTTAGGAAGGAATGGTTGCTGTGCCGTCTGTCTTATTACCATTGTGACCTTTTTCTTTTTTTCTAGAAAGGGCTCAGCCTGTGGGGTCAAGGCCTTGCCTCTGCTTGGGCTGAGCGGCAGAGTTGCAGGTGGGGAAGACAGGGAGCCACTGGCACTGGGTGGGCCTCTTTTCCCCTGGAGGGGCCCAGGCAGCGGGAGGGTATGCAGAGTCCAGGAGGGGCTGTGGTGGCTGGGAGCCAGGGCCCAGCCGGAGGTGGGCAGGGTAATTGCCTCTTACGTAAGCGGGAGTTGGATCCCTGACCATTGCCCAACCTCCGTGAGTAACTCCGGAGGCACTCGAGGGGGTGGTGGCTGGGAGGGACTTGCGCTGCAGACCGTGTGGAACTCGGGATCCAGGAAGCCAGAGCTTCTCCACCCGGAGAACTGGGACATGAGACACTTCTCTCCAGCGCGGGGCCCAGGTCTGGCTTGGTCAGGACAGGGGGACTCAGGACAGTCCCCCGTGTCTCATTGACACAGTGGTTCGTGGGCGGAAGGAAGAGGTTGGGAGCAGTGGTTGTTGGCGGCCCTTTCAGATCTTCCCGGCAGGGAATGCATCATCAAATCAAAGTTAAGGCGCAGCTGTGACGGGAAAACCCTGCGGGGAGGCAGTGCGGGATCCGTGCTGTGCGACTTCAGTCCTGGCATTGCCCTCCCTGAACCTCTGTGGAGAGGACTTTCCAGTGTGTGAGTTCAGGTGCAGATGATGTTGGGTGGGTTAGATGGAAGGCCTTCCCCAGGGCCCAGGGGCCCGGCCAGCCCTTCTGGGGTCTGTGAAAGGATGTGGTGGGGAAGCTACACACCCTCACCAACATCCCCAAAGCTCCCATTCCCCGAGCTGTTCTCCCTGTGCCAGCAGCTCTTCCATTTATCCTTGATGGCCCCAGTTACAGGTGAGGAGACTCAGGCGTTCAGGGCCAGGCCCGAGGTTGCAGCTGTGACAGATGGAGCTCAGGTTCTGCCTTCTCCAGAGGCCTCCCCAGGGCTCCTCTCCTCCTGTGCTGGGTGCTTGAGCTGAGCTGGGGGACACTCCCTCACCCATCACACCTGTGTCCAGCGGGTGTCTCCTCCAGGCCGTGCCCACCCTGGCGGCGGCTAAGCCAGAGGTGATACCTCTTTTGTGCACAGCCCTTCAGCCGGCACGTTTCTTACTCACTGCTGTCCCGCCCGTTGGACAGATGGCCAAACCGAGGGCCGCTCGGGGTGTGTGGCTAGGCGAGTCCACAGAGCTGTGTCCCCCCTCTCCTGGGCGCAGGCCCTAGTGTGGTGCTCCTGGCTCCTCAAAGGGATTTGACCGATACAGGGTGTGGCTGGCACTTGGCCTTGGCCTCTGAGCTGCCTGCCCTGCAGGGGCGCCCGGCCTCCTCCGCGAGGGTGTGAGGCCCGGCTTCCTGCGGGGCTTCCTCACCCACATGCCACCTTTGGCTGGAGTCAGAAGCCAGAGGCAGCTGGCACTGGGCCAGTGGCAGGAGCACATTCTGTCTGCGTGGTCCCGGTTTGCTGCCTTAGTTACATGTGTCCTTGGTGCCACACAATCCTGCCCCCCCCCCTCCACGCCCTGAGGGCCCCCACCGGGCACTGCATGGTTGATCTCCGTGGTCCCCCCGCCCCCCGCCAGGTGCACTGAGGATGCAGGGAGCATGTCTGTGTCCTGCCCTGTGTTCTGGGGCCTCCACCCCCGTCGTGTGCCTTTCCAGTCATTGGAAGACGGGAGGGTAGCACCTTGGGGACTTCCTCCGCCCCTGGTGTGACGCACAGGAAACTCTCAGCCAGCCTGGCCTGGGGCCTGAAGGGAGCAAAGTTCTCAGTTGCCTGTGTGGGGACAGAGCCAGGGCCACGGGAGCTTCCGGTGGGTGAGTCAGCGGGCACTGGGCACTGACTCACCTGCTGGGCATGCCATCCTGCTGGGTGCTGCCATCTGGGGGAGACTGAGCCCATTCTCGCAGGCCAGCTACTGGCTCTGAGCTGGGCAAGGGAGTGGCTCCCTTCTTGGACCTCAGGTTGGGCGGGGACCCCCCACCCCTCCTGGCGCTGTGCCAGCCCCGCCCGGGAACCTCCTCTGTTAGGCAAGCGCCCTGCTTCCTCTTGCTCATGGAGCAGGAGCAGGTGGTGGCACCTCTGCAAGGGCCCGGGGGCTCTCAGGCCAGACGCACTGCTGGGGGCCCTGGGGGCTGAGGAGCAAGGCGTGCGGGTCGGCCTGAGCTCGGGGAGACGCGTGTGGAGAGGGAAGGTGCCGCAGCCAAAGCTCAGCTCAGCCCCTTTCACTGTGGGGCGTGGGCCACGGAGTGTCCGGTGCCTTCACTGCACTGCCCCCTGGGCCCACCTCTGTGAGGAGAGGCTGTTTCCTCCCCTGCAGAATGGGAGTGGGGACCCAGCCTGCCGGTCTTGCTGGCAGCACCCCGATGGCTGCAGGCGTCCACTTTCTTCTTGCTGAGTGTCAAGCACGGGACACAGCCAGTCTGTCCTCTCCCTGCGAGAGCCCGGGCGGCGGGCAGAGCCCGAGCTTGGGGGTAAGAACGAGCCTGTGCTTCCAATTCTGATTGGTCCCCTTGCTTCCTGACTTCCTCACATGGCCTCTCTGACCCGCCGTCTCCTCTTCGGTGAAGTGAGGTGAGCACCCTCCCTTGCAGGGTGGCGATAAAGATTCCAGGTCGTCTGTCACAGGAACGGAATGGCACCTGTGGTGACTTCCTTCCTGCAGCCGCTTGTTGGTAGTGAGCACACAGGGCTGGGCCTTCTGGCGGTGGGCTTGGCAGCGCGGTGACCTGTGGATGGTCGGGTGCAGGGTCCGGGAATGCAGCCAGAGGTGCAGGCTCTTTCGCACTGGTCCCCAAGCTGGCGCCTGGGCTCCCGTTGCTCCTGGGTCTTCTTGGGAAGGGCCCTGGGAGCAGAGAGCAGCGGGTGCACAGGTCTGCCTCTCCCGGAGCATGCAGGGGAGGGTTGGGGTGGGGCACTCAAGAGGACAGGAGCCTCCGAGGCTGGCCTCGCCGTTGGTAGAACATCACTGGTGCCAGGCACAGTGCCAGCTGAGGAAAACTGGGTGAGTGCGGAGCCTCGACTCCTACAGAGCTCTCTCTGCCGGGGGAACAGAAGGAGGTACTGGGGATAGTAGTTCCGAGAGCCTGACCAAGGCCAGGTGTGCCAGGCGTCCTGAGGGACGTAGGGCCAGGCTGGCCGCAGAGGAGAGCGCTGGGGGCAGCATGAGGACACCCCTGGAGCCCCTCCCCGCGGGGTGCTGTCTGTGGTCTTCCCTAGGAAGTCGGTATTGGCCTCGTCTTGCTGACTGTAGTGGAGGGGGCAACGCTGAGCTGTGGGAACTGAGTTGAGGTGAATGCAACATCAACAACAACAACGAGATGGGCGTCTCATTCCCATGAGCCACAGGGGAGCCGGGACACGGCTGGATCTGGAACCAGCGCCCCTTCTAGGGAAAACCAGCCCTGACATGCACATTGCTAGGCGAGCCCACAGAGATTCCAAGGCCCGGCTCCTCTCAGTGTGACCCCATCCCAGGGCTCCCTGACCTTCCCCCGGCTCCTCCCAGCTCCTCGGGAGCGCCAGCCAACAACAAACCCAAAACAAGAACACAACACCACCCGGGGTCCTTTCCACCGTGAAAATCACGAGCCCATGTCTGCCTTCCGTCTCATCTTCCTGCATTTGGCATCTGGTATCACATTTACATGTTCAGTCATCATGACCGGTTGGACTATATAGAAAAGCCCACAGGACAAGCATCGAAGGACTCATAACAGCAAGCAGGTCAGGAAGGGCAAGCAGTGGGTGCTGAGGTCAGTGCCGAGCCACAGCTGCCCAGGCCTTGTTGATGTCGTGGGACGGCTCCACCTGTGACGTCCGTGGCTTCTCGTCTGCCAGGAGCCTGATGTCCGTGGTAGGCGGAGGCGAGTGTCAGATATCCATTGTGAGGAGGTGCCTGCTAAGGTCCCTTCCAATGAGGTTGGACAGTGTATTTCACTTGATAACAGGCGGCAGTCCATGGGTTTTAGCCTTTCTGTCCTGTGAGCTCACTGAGATGAGGCAGTTATTCCTGGGCATGTTCTGGAAGTACCTCTACCACACCTGGGCCGCGGTGCAGGTCTCCTCTTGGAACGCCAGCCAGCAGTCCTTCCCTCTGACTTCAGTCCTGCGCGAGTGCATGGAGGAGTGCGAACACCGGAATGGGAGCCGGGCGGCGGGGAGCACGGAGCGGCTGCCTGGGTTTCCCATGGTCCTGACGATTTGTTGTTATTGTTGTTTTATCACTTAACCTTTAGAAGCGTATTTCACAGACATCAAAGTCAGTTATTAACATGGACTATTTTTGTAAAATCCAAGCAAATAGAGACATGTGTCTTTTACTTAAACCAACAGACCAGCTAGCTTTTATTTCCCAAGGATTAATCTTAGATTGCATGAATTTGAAAAGTATTTTAGTTCATGTATCTGTTTCTGAGAATTTTAGAATGCCCAATCTTACAAGCACTGCCTTTACATTCATTTTACAATGTCATCCAGAGGTAGAAAGTGCTTTCTGTTCACAGCACATGTGTATAGACCAGGGGTGGGCAAACTTTTTGACTCGAGGGCCACAATGGGTTCTTAAACTGGACCGGAGGGCCGGAACAAAAGCATGGAGTGTTTGTGTGAACTAATATAAATTCAAAGTAAACATCATTACATAAAAGGGTACGGTCTTTTTTTTTTTTTTTTTGAGTTTTATTCATTTCAAACGGGCCACGGGCCGTAGTTTGTCCATGGCTGGTATAGACACACACACAAACACAGCAGAGGACAGTGGGATCCAAATTCTGTTTTGGAGGAATTTACAATTTATATCTGTCCTTAGCAAGTTAAGTTCCAAATGACTTTCCCCCTTTTAAAGTAAGAATACCATTTTTAATATCTCTAAGAATTGGGTTGACACCTAAAAGATATAGGTTGATTCATTTATTTAAATACTTTAGTGCTCGCTCTCTCTCTTTTGGGAAATTCTTTTATATAGTTTTACTTTAGGTTAAAAGAGAAGGTCTGTTTAAGTCTGAGACAGCCTCTAATAGTTTCTTTTTTGGGGGGTCCCTGGTCTTTAATGGGGTGCACACGGGGACAAGCTGTCCAGAGAAGGCAGTAGGGAGGCGAGGTCTCTACAGCACGAGAGTGGAGGGCAGCAGGGCAGGTTGGTGGGGTCTTTGGAGGTGACAGTCCCCACAAGAGCAGAGCAGGGTCTCAGCTCACCCAGCGGGTATGCTGTGGGAGAAGCTAGCAATTGCTGCCCCCTGGTGGCCTCATTGGCAAGGATGGCTACCTCCCAGAGGGGTTGCCCCCACCCTCATACTGGACTCATGAGAGCTGGTTCCAACCCCTGTCCCACTCTGGGCCTTGGTTTCCCCGCTGACACTGGCGAGGAGCACGCACCGCCTACTCCAGAGCCATCACCAGGGCTCCGTTGGCCTCGGTTCGGATTTGGATCTCAGCCCTCATGGCCTCGCCGGATGCCCCGACAGCTCGATTGTGCCTTCTCCAAGCTTGCCTTGGCCGCCCCCAAATCCAGCATGTCCAGTGGCACAGCCTCTTCAGCCAGTGACTGAACTGATGAACCAGCGTTCACTGTGCCCGAGCCGCTGCTAACGAAGTATATGGAGGTGGTGCCATCCTCAGCATGGACAACAACCAACAATGACTGCAGGACCTGCAGGGTGGGCACGTGGGCTGCCAGGATACTGAAGGCTCCTGTCTGCGTGGGCACATCCACCTGCTGGACGATGGCGCCATTGAAGAAGACCTGTGTGGGAGAGGCGAAGGTGAAAGACATTTGCCCCGGGCCCACGGTGGGGGCTGGGGCGGCCGCGGCCTTGGCGTAGGCGTGAGCCTGGCGCACGAGGCGACCCAGGCCAGGGCGACGGAGGAGCACAGCGGGCAGCATAGCAGCAGCAGCAGCACGTAGAGGATGGTGGTCAGACTCAGGCGGTACGCGGGCAGCCTGGAGGGCGAGGAGGACGATGCGCCCCTAGTAGTTTCTTTTCATTCATTCTGTCTGATGTTGGCTGACTTTTTATAGTTGTGTGTGCAAAGTAGAAGCATCAAGGACCCTCAGTGCTACAGAGGCTCACTGTCGGGGCCTTGTCCACTGGGAGACATGATTTCTGTGTTAATTCTGAGACCTGTAGAGTCTAAACACACTTCTAGGGAAAACCAGCCCTGACAGGCACATCGCTAGGCGAGCCCACAGAGATTCCAAGGCCCGGCTCCTCTCCGTGTGACCCCATCCCAGGGCTCCCTGACCTTCCCCCGGCTCCTCCCAGCTCCTCTGGGGCCGGCGCTGACACCCCCTGGCCCAGTGCCGCACCCTGGTTCAGAGTTCTAACCACTGTCACCACCCCATTGGCTGTCCAGGTCGGAGAAGCCAGTGTCCTCCCTCTCTCAGCCAAAGAGAGCTCAGTCTCTCGTTTAACCAGCCAACATGTCACTCACTCTCGGTAGGCGTTCTAGTTAAAAGCCTAAATTTAAAGCAGCCACCCATTCCCCTTTTTCCCTGGGCTACCTCAGCCCTCCTCTGTCTCGAGGGTTTTCTAAGGACAGCTCAGGTAAAGCCACGGCCTGCTGCTTCAAGCAAGGAGGCCGGACTTCTGACAGAGGCCCAGCCGGTTCACCTGGTGCGCAGCCCAGAGCCGGTGGTACCGCCCAGGTCCTGGCTGCAGGGTGGGCTGCTTCCAGCCCTGTCTCCTCTGCCAAGTAATTGTCAGTGTGAGGAGCAGCCGAACCTCCAGAGAAACTTTATGAGATTGTTTGATACAAACTGACAACAGATGCCGGGAGCAAGATCACAGGTGCTCACCACTGCTGGGAGCCGGCCCATCCTTGCTGTTTCAAGGGACCTGGCATATATTTTGGGAACCCCTGGGACAGGATTCCCCTAGGTAAGCTCCCCCCTCCCGCCCCCATTGAGAACCGCACACTCGGGACGGATAGGACTCCACCAGGGTGCTGCAGACCCTCCTATAGAGGATAAGTAGGGTAAGAGGGTGGATAGTACAGAACTTAAATTGAGAAGATGGGCCATACTGAGTCCAAAGAAAGAAGACTCTGTATTGATCTTTAGATTAAGAAGATGTGCCATGCTGAGTCTTAAAAAAAAAGACTCTGTATTGATCTTTTAACACATATGCTTGCTAGCAGAGGAATTAAGGTTACTCCCAGTCAGACAGAACGTTTTATACAAGAAGTATGTCCATGCTTTTCTGAGGAAGGAAAGGTAAATGTAAAGGCATGGGAGAAGGCAGGCCCAAGGAGCCTTATCCTTAACCCCACTGCAGCCTTTCCACCCCGGGAAAGTGCAGGATTGGCAGGCTCTCCCTGGGATGATAGATCAGGACTCAGGTAATAGCGAAAAGCACCAATCCTACCCTTAAAATGGATACAAGAGAGCATTTGGGATTTTTCTTTTTAATGCCTGCTTTTAAAAAATAAAAAAGGGGGAATTTGCCGGGAGCCGGTCCATCCTTGCTGTTTCAAGGGACCTGTCATATAAGGCATACTGTTCCTAATATATTTGCTCCCCTTCTTGGCACTATGTGTTTTAACCAAGGTCACCTCTCCGAGAAAGGTTGTTTCCCCAGGTAGGGATTTTCCCCTGAAGTTAGGGAGGGAATAAAACCCCTTAACTAAGTGGCAGG